GAGTAATGTTACATTAAGAAAATACCCCAGCCCACTCCAGATCAAGTCCATAAGTCCAATATCAGCCCATATATCCGATACCAATCTATAAAGTCCTCTTCAGACTCACGAAACACATGCAATGATGCCGAATGCAGGAAGATCACAGGCCAGGGGATGGGAAGTCCTGTGGATTCAGAGCGTTGTAAGCATCTCAGCGCTGGCAAGGGTCTGCCTCCATGTGACTTCTCCAGCTCAGGGCATAGTTCCAGGTGTCCTGTCAGCTGCAATGTCTCTCCGGTAGTGAGGAGAATGTGTGTCCCGCCTCCAAGGAGGAAGACAGGAGTTCCCAGAATCCTCAGGAGAAGGCCCGCCCACACAGAGGGCTCATTGGCTATGACCTGATTGACAGGCTAGACTCCACCCCTTCACTCTGAATCCGCAAATTGACACCAGATAATGTATCTACCACACAGCCCAACCAGAACCTCTCTCCTGGGTGGGGGTGGGGGGTGGTGGGGGTCTGCTTCAAACCCAAACCAAACTCACTGCCATTGAGTTGATTCTGACTCATTGTGACCCTGGAAGACAGGGTAGAACTTTCCCCCCACTTCTGAGACTAACTTCTCTTTCTGGAGACACTTTATGGGAGTCAAAGGCCTCCTCTTTCTCCCGCAGAGTGGTGGCCAGTGGTTTTGAATGGCTGACCCTGTGGGAGCAGCCCAACACGTAACCCCCCCCTACGCCAACAGCGCGGGGCAGGGCCTTCCTTGTGGTAGGCTCAGGCTTGACTCTTGCCCAGTGGAGAGGCACAGGTTGTCGTGCCGCTGATCTGGTTTCAGTGGTGCTTCCAGACTGAGACAGACTTGGACGAAAGGTCTGGAGAGCTACCCCTGAACATGTTCACGGCCACAGAGTTCAAGCCGACCCACAGCGACCCTATGGACAGGGTAGACCTGCCCCTGGGGGTTTCTGAGACTGACTCTTTATGGCAGCGGGTCTCAACCTGTGGGCTGTGACCCCTTTGGGGGTCAAACGACCCTTTCACAGGGGTCGCCCGATTCATCACAGTAGCAAAAGGACAGTTCTGAAGTAGCAACAAAAATCATGTTATGGTTGGGGGGTCCCCACCACATGAGGAACTGTATGAAAGGGTCACGGCATTAGGAAGGTTGAGAACCACTGGTCTATGGGAATAGCAAGCCTCGTTCTCCCTCAGAGCCGCTGGTGGTTTTGAACTGCTGACCTTGCTGTTAGCAGCCCTGCATGTACATAACCACGACACCACCAGGGCTCCCTTTGTCCCGAGGTGTGAGAGGGTGTCTAATAAATACGTCTCCACTCCAGCCCACCCTCCAGTTTCACAGGGTGTAAATCGCAGAAGACATTTTATTACAGATCTGCAGACGCCCACAATCTCCCCTCACAAAAGGCCGCAGTGAGCTGTGCAGGATTTCCCAAGGTGGACAATACCGCCCCCTGGGGGCACTGGAAGGAGCCCAGCGGGCTGTGGAAGCAGATGCCTACATTTTATCCTAACAGGGGCTGCAGTGCCAAAGTTTTTAATTGCCAGGAGGCACCGAGTAATTTTTTTGTTTTTCGGGAAAAGGGGGTGGTAGGCCACTGAATTGGAGAACCTGTAATTTACGGTGCCCCTACTTTTTTCTTTATCTGAATTTCCACCTCGGTTCTTTGGGGGGGGTGAGGGGAGGTCAGATGCTCAGGCATCTCCCTTGAGGGCGGTCAGTTGCCAGACTGCAGTGGGCCCCCGCTCCCTGATGTTAAAGACAATGGACAGGCCTACAGTCATCTATTTGGTTCCTGTAGGTAGAGTTTACACCGTACCTAATGGTTCCAAAGGAGATCCAGAGAAGAGGTCAAAGTTAAGCTGCCATCCTAAATCTAGGATCCGCCCATCTTGTCACATGTATACCCCCAATCCCTCCTCTTCCCATTGAGTGTATGTCCCTAGACAACCCCCTCTCATTGCTGTGTAACTTATAGTGCAACCCCTTCCTGTGACGTATGACTACCTGTAATTAGTGGGCTTGCACGACCCCAAAAGGTATATAGGCCTGGGCTAGCGATAGTGCTCTCTCCCGCTGGGTCGCTCCCGCGCTCTCTCCTCTCTTCCACCTCTCTCTCTCTCTCTCTCTCTTATCCTCTCTCCCTTCCCCCTCTCTCCACGTGGACCACCAAGCAGGGCTGAGGTGAGCATGCTACCATGTAATGTGTCTGACTGCATCATTGTAATATCTCTTCTATCTTTCATGCTCTCGATAACTTTAATATAATATATATACATCTCAACCGTACAATTGTGCATACTGAACCCGTGGGTAGTGGTGGGGGCTGCCCCCCCCCCAACATTATACTACAGTTCTGTGAAAAAAGGTGAGAAGGAAAACAGCTTGGGAGATGTTCTCCCTGGGCCCAGAGGAAGCTGTGACAACTGCCCTTGTTACACCGGCCTCTGAAGAAGCTTGCTAGGTTTGCCCAAGAAAAATAGGCGGAGCCATCTGTGAGGGGATTGGCCAGTTTGATCCATTGAGAGGATTGGTCAGTTATGCAGATAGGGTGTTTACAATCTGGCCAATAAAATCCACTTACCTCTATAAGCAGCATCCCACAGAGATTGAGAAGGGCCATCAAAAGATGGCGTGCTCCAGGTCTTTTGGACCTGGAGTCCCTGTGCTAAGAACTTCCTAGACCCACGACTGGGAGAGTAGCACACTGGAGGGGCAGCAGCAGAACCAGAGGGCCATTAGCCCGCCTGCTGGGCTTCTTGGCCCACAGAAGGAGGCAGCTTCCTTGGATGCTCCGAGGAAGAGCGCTAAGTGCCTTCAGGCAGGAGGCTTGCTGGTGGAACAGCTGCCTCAGGGCCCTTCTCAGTAGAGCTAAAAGAGCTGTAATATTTGCCTAAACAGGGCAGAGGCTGAGCGGTGGCCTGTCCGAGGGACCGTGACTGGCAGAAAGAAACAGCTGTCCTGCACTAAAGAAGGGAGGGGTGTACTCTTCACCCTGTGGGGGGGGGGGGGTCTTCCAGGCCTTGCCTGTATGCTTCCCAAGATTGGGCCTGTTCCGGGCACTTCTACGTTCATCCGGATCCCAGGTTACTTCCCTAAAACCCCACCTAACAGAATATGGCCTTAGAGTTCCGTGTGGCCTCAGTCATGCATGATCAGACTCAACAGAGAAGCGGAGTGCCGTGGGGAGGGGGGCCGGTGTCAGAACTGGTTACAAGGTGAGAGCGTGGAGGTCAGACACGCTTCGGGGCTGAGGCTTATTCTCATTCTCAATAAAGCTAGATGGGGGGACGCTCTTGCTACCCCACCCCACCACCATGCCTTAGCTCGCCACAATTCCTGCCTCCTAGTTTGCAGACAGGGTCCACCTTCCCCTGCCTGGGGCTCTGACTCCTGAAGTTCCTGAACACTCCAGCAGAGGGAGGCTCGACTCCATTCCCAAAGACCACCACAGGGGTCCTAGGAAGGCCGTTGTAATATTGAAGTGTCTGGGAAACAGATGTTATAGGCGCCCTTTAATTGACCCTCATCCCCTCCCCAGTTTACCTTTTGTTTCTATGGCCTCTGAGCCCCACCCCTTGGACTGTACCCCATCTTGAGAATCCCTTCCACCACTCCCCGGAGGGAGGAGCCCTTCTTCCTTGGGGCTTGCGGAATGCCTTGTTCTGGCCTAGGACCTGAGGTAGAGAAATCACCGAGGGCCTTGCATTCAGAGAGCAGATGGCTGGGCAAACATTCCTTCACTCTGCCCATCCCTGCTGAACAGTGGGGGAGTCTTATCTCCCGGGCCAAGCAGACCAGGCCCCCAGGAGTCTATATCCAGGGAACCCCTTTCCCTGTCCTGTACCACACGTTCTGGCTCACCACCCCCAACCCTGAGACTAGCTCCCGTGGCCCTCCTCCCCACCCTCACAATGGCACTGGGGGCTGGGGGGTCGCCTGGAGTCCAACTGGTGGCCGGCTCAGAGCCACCCCTTTCCTGGCCTTGCCCCTCCTCATGACCCCAATCCTCCGCCAGCCACTCAAAGGCCCCTTGTTCTCTGTCCAGCCCCCAGACAAAAGTCCCTCTGTCTACAAAGGCGGAATTGGGGGGGGAGGTGGTACCCCAAGGGGGGCCCACGTGGGGGCCGGCAAAGACCCCAAACGGAAGGAATGCCATGGGAAGTGGGGGCGGGAGGAGAGGAGGAGGAAGTCTTAAGAAGGGTAGAAGACCTTATCTGAAGTGGGAGGCAGCCCACTGTCTACTCCAGGGACCCAGACATCCTGGTGTGTGTTCTCCGAGTCCCTGGGAAATTCTGGGCTGGGTCCAGGCTCCCCCAGGCTGGTGGTGGTTATGGCTCAGCCAGAGGTCCCACAAGCTCGCCTCGTTGGTGGAGTTGGGTTGCTAAAGGCAAGGTCAGCAGTTGGAGCCCAGCAGCCGCTCTGCTGGAGGAACTAGAACCTCGGAGACCCACAGGGCAGCTGCTCTCTGTCCCGAGTCGGCATTGAGGCTGTGAGTTTAAATGAGTTAGCACTGGCAAGCCCCCTCAGCCTGCTCACATCCTGGGTCATATCGCCGTGTTCTGCAGATCCTCAAAATGGATCCATGCTAAATGTGGCCTGGAGGGGATTTTAGACCCCTGTCATTCACACACACACACACACACACACACACACACACACACACACACTCACCTCCCCCACTGCTCCTGTCCTGTAGAAACTCTCCTGTTAGAGGCTCCAGAACCGTCCCACTGCAAGCCCCCTTTCTGGACCTAGAACACTAGGGAAAACCCCCTTCTCCTAACGAGAGGGGCCAAATCAAATCCATCCTCTTCGCTGCCCACCTCATCTGCCCACACTGCGGTGGTCTTACAGGGAAACAGCTTGAAGCTGCTCCCAGCCTGGGAGGAAGTGGAGCTGTGTCTTTAAGAGCAGGAATGGGGTGGGGGTGCCCTGAGCCTTAGGGAGTCTGACTTGTTCTCTACCTGCCCAGGTTTGCTCAGGGCGTGGCCCTGCGGATAAAGGCAGAGGCAGGGGTTAGCAGCCCCAGCTTTCTCCAGAGCCTCAAGCCAGCCTGCGGAGCCCACTGCACAGGTGAGAGGCTGGAGCGCCCCCCCCCGCCCCCACCCACCAGCCACACATCAACCCGTCCCTCCGCCACCCGCCAGCCTGGGTGCTGGGGTGAGGGTGAGACCCACAGTGGGACTGGGGAGACTCTGAAGAGCTGCTGTTTGCGTGGACCAAGGGTGGTTAGTTGGGTGGGCACGACTGGGTGGGCCTGGGAGGTCTAGGTGCTTTGCAAATGCATGGGTCCTGGGGGGATCTCCAGAAGAAGGGGACGAGGGTGGGGGGCTGCCTGGAGAGAGGAGAAGGAGAACACAGAGCTTGTTGGGAGATTTCTGGGGTGGGGTGGCCTTTCTGTGTTCCCTGAAGGCCTGGCCAGGGTTGTGAGGGAGTAGAGGGGGTGGTAGCTGCCAGATGGAGGACAGAGCGGCAGTGTTGGCAGGCACGGTCCCCAGCCCGTGTTGGAACCCAGGAAGGAACAAAGTTGTGTGGACAGGGAACGGGCATTCAGCCCCAGGCTGTCCTACTCTCGATGCGGCCCACCAACGGCTGCCAGTCCCGGAGTGGCCCAGGGGCCTCTGAGTGGGAAGGCGTGGGCAGGTGCCCGACCCTCAGCTCCCAGGGTCTACCAAGCCCTGTCGGAGCTGGACTGGGAATGGTTGTACAGAGACTTGGGTGCAGCTGACCCCTTCCATCAGTCTCCCGACAGGTGGTGTCCTGGGAACAGTGGGTGGCGGAGGGCTCACGGGTTGAGGGTGACTTGAAACATTCATGGGAAGAGGCTGAAGAACGGAGTCTCAGTAGTCACCGGGGGTCAGAGGTCACAGCGTCACCCTAAAGTCCCGGGCTCCAGGAAGACAGGCGGGACAGCGACATGGGACCATGACAGGGTCAGCATCATTGTTCTCTGATAAGTGTCCAGGGCCGAGAAGGGCAGCCCTCAGAAACCACTGGCTGTTGTTGTTGTTGCAAGTGCTGCGATTGTGTTGGAGGTACGGTGGCCTCGTGGGGACAACGTTATAACAGGCGATGCTGCTGCAGCCCTGTGCCGCAACCTTCTCCCACCTCTGACTCATGGTCCCCAACACCTTGAGAACATTCCACAAAGCCGCAGCCCCTCGTCCTGCGTGACATGGGGCTCAAACCAAAGTGGTTTGTGCCGCCTGCATGAGGAACAGGGCACGGCACTGATTCCGGGATTCCAGGACCTGGGGTGGCTACTGCAGATGGAGGAGACTGGGCCCATGCAGGACACAGAGACTCCAGGTGGGAGTGATATAGGGGGTGCAGAGGAAAAGAGATGGGGGTGCACCCTCCAGCCATGGGCAGGAGCCTCTGCAGGGACCCGGGGCTTTCAGCTGGGTTTTATGGTCCCCAAGGACCATAATGATCATGGGGGTTCCTTCCTAGAAGGACGGGGTTAGGAGCGTTGGTTAGAGAGCAGAGGGTTCTGAGCAGGCATCCTCAAACTATGGCCCGCGGGCCACATGCAGCCCACTGAGGACAGTTATCCGGCCCGCCGGGTGTTTTTGCCCCGTTGTTTTTTACTGCAAAATAAGATATGTGCAGTGTGCATAGGAATTTGTTCATGGTTTTTTTTTTAAACTATAGTCCAGCCCTCCAGCGGGTCTGAGGGACAGTGAACTGGCCCCCTGTTTAAAAAGTTTGAGGACCCCTGGTTCTGAGACTCAAGGAAGTTCTGGAAGAGCCAGGGAGGGAGGCTGCCAGGATGGCCCACCGGTTGGACCCCCAAACCTAGCTGGGCTTCCATCCCAGCCCCAGACTTGCTCTGTGCTTGAGTTTTGCCTTTGGGGGCTGGGGGTGGGCAGAATAAGTGGAGACCCAGCACTGGGTGCCCAGCACACGCGAGCTGGAGGGTTAGCTGCCAGGACTCATACCTTCATAGCAACTGGGCAGGGGGCCAGAGCCACACAGCAGCCTGCGGGCTCCTGACTGGGGCTCTGGGGTAGAACAGGGCTGAGGGCGTGTGACCTGCGGAGAGCAGGAAGGCCCACCTGGGGACAGAGGGGGTGCTTGCTGCCTGGAAGAGCTGGGTGAGGGCAGAGTGGGCTGCAGGAGAGGTGGGGGTGGGTGTGGGGGGCTAGGACAAAAGAGGAGCCTGAGCAGAGCCTGGGGTGGGTGGAGGGAAACAGGGGCAGTGTTGTGGCTGGGATGATGAAGCAGGGGTGAAGGGTTCAGGCTGGAGTGAGGCTAGCATTTGGGCCTTACTGGGACCTGGGCAAGATCTGAGGGTGGCCAGTGGTAGGAGCAGGAGCAGGGGCAGAAGATGGGGCTAGAGTGGGTCTATGGGTCTCCCCTCTCTCTCCCTCCCCTGTCCTCCACTTCCTGGAGGTGCCCAGGCCGGGCCTAGCCAGCAGGCTGCCGAGGCTGGGCAGGGCCAGGCAGGCTCCGAGCTGTCTGTGGGAGACACTCCCAGGAACCTGGGCTTCCCGCCACCTGGCTCCTGACACCTCCTTCCCCCACCCGCCCCAGGCCCTGGCAGCCCAGGCTTAGAAACAGCAATGGTGAATCCTGAAAGGTTTCCATCTGGCTTCCTAGCCGGGTGAACCTGGGCACTGGCTTTGACCTCTTAGGGCCTAGTGTTCCATCTGATTACTGGGGTGACGGTCGGCAGTCCTCGTTTCCTTTGCTGACCTGGTAGATTCACGGAGAGCCCCAAGCCTGTGTCCTGTGAGGTCTTATTGCAGGTGCGCCAGCTGGTCTAAGTCTCACCCAGCCCCCACATTTCAGCTCCTTATCACTGGGCCCAGCGGGGTTCACTGGCAGCTGTGAATGCCCCAGGGAGGAAGTAGGAGTTGGTGGGGGCATGGAAGAGAGGCCCAGGGTGCCCTGGCAGCCTTGCTGAAGCTGGACCCTCTTCCTCAGACCCCTATCCCAGCGTGCCGACATGCAGGAGATGGTCGTGAGCTTCCTCGTCCTTCTGGCAGGTAAGTAAGTGCCCACCCCTGGAATGGCCCATTCCCCTCAGACCCTCTAATGCATCTCTGGCTGGTACTTCCCCTCCCCACCCCCAACCCCGGCCCTCTACCTCGCACCTGCCATCAACGCAATGAACATCAGGACAGTGTTGTACTGTTAGGAGTCCTGGTGGTATAGTGCTTACGAGTTGGGCTGTGAGCCTTAAGGTTGGCAGTTCAAAACTATCAGCAGCTCCGGAGGAGGAAATGGAACTTTCTACTCCCATCAACAATTAAAGTTCTGGAAACTGACAGGGGCAGACCCTGCCCTGGAAGGTCACTCTGACTCAGAACTGACTCGATGGCAGTGAGTTTGGATTTTTTTTTTTGCTTGGTCCCACTGCAGGGGACACAGGGAACAAGCCCGCGCACAGCAGTGGCTCTCACATCTACCTGTGGTGTAAACCTTCTGAGGGCATCCAGAAGAAGCTCTGCCTCGTGGCACAGTGGGTTAAGTGTTGGGCTGCTAACCTCAAGGTCGGCAGTTCAAACCCACCAGCCACTCCAAGGGAGAGAGCCGAGGCTGTCTGCTTGCATGAAGATGGACGATCTCAGACACCTCGCCGTTCCATGCCGCCTTACCTTATAGGGCATCAACTCAAGGGCAGTGGAAGCTTCATTTTGAGAGGGAGCCTAGAGGTTGGGCAGCCCCTTGGACAAGCTGCTCTCTGCCTAAATGTCTCATCTGTACACAGGAGGATGTTAATAATAAAAGTACCAAAAATGCGGAAAAGTCAAACTGAAATGGGCTTGGAGTCTTTAGTGACAAGACTGACACCCACAGCTCCAAGGGAGAGCTGAGGCTGCCTGCTCTCGGCGTACAGACTTAGGGCCCCCGAGACCCACAGGGAAAGTCCTCTCCCCTGTTTTTACAGGGTCGCTGTGAGTCAGCGATGAGTTATGTGCCGGAGGGTCCCGCCAATTCCCTGAGTCATTGTGCAGATGAAGCAAGTTCATGTTTGAGGATCCCTGAGCAGCACCTGGCTCAGAGCAAGCGCTGTGTGTTTGTTTAAACACAGTGAGCATTTATTCATCTTCCCTTAGCAAAGAAAGAACAGAACTGGGGCTCGGATTTAATGTGGGCCTTGAATTTAATTCTAGTGCTTTGCTTCAGTCAGAAGCCTGGTGGCGTAGCGGTTGTGCATTGGGCTGCTAAGTACAAGGCCGGCAGTTTGAAGCCACCAGTTGCTCCTCAGAGAAAAAGATGAGGCTTTCTTCTCCTGTAGGGTCACAGTCTCAGGAACCCACAGGGGCAGTTCTACCCCCTTCTATAAGGACACTGAGCCAGAATTGACTCGTTGGCAGTGAATTTGGTTTCAGAGTTTTGCTTTCAGTAACTGTAACACCAGCCAGGCTAAGGGAAGTGATTTAAAGCTGCATCTCGAATAACTGCATAGGAAGATTTATTTTATTAAGGGCATTTACATTTATGAAGCGGTCCCGGTGTTGCAATGGGTTAAGCATTGGGCTGCTCACTGCAAGGTCGGCCATTCAAATCTACCAACCACTCCCCAGTCGAAAGACAAGGCTGTGTCTATACAGATGTACAGCCCCTGGAGACTCTATGGGACAGATTTACTCTGCTCCACAGGGTTGCTAGGAGCCAGGGCTGACCCAGCAGCAGTGGGTTTAGAAGCTGATTGGGATGGGAGAATGACTGGCTTTGGGGAAACAGCATCCCAAGATGGAGACCAGTTGTCAATTTTGCAAGAAGGTCCCTCTGTTTCTGTGGGAGGTCTTGATTAGGTCCAGGTGTCTGCACAGATGGGGCCCGACAGTGACCACGAGTCACCCAGATGAGAACATGCTGTAGGTGGGAAAATGCCGCCCTGACTGGCAGCCAAGAGCTGCCCAGATGTGTGCCCACCTCTTCAAGGTGCGACGTGCAGTGTCCGTGGCTGGGCCCCTGCACCTTTGGGAGGTGGGGACCTGTCCCTCAAAGGACTGTGGGATGAGACCCCTAAGGCCTATGGGATGGCTGAAGCCAGCACCCCCATCTCCCCCACTTGTCTGCGTTTCCTCCCCAGGCCTGCCAGCCCTGGATGCCATCAACCCAGAAGGTGAGTCAGGCTATACCCCAACCCCCAGCTCTTCCCCAGGCCCCCCCACCTTCAGCTATAGTCTGGATCTCATTGCTCTTGTGTTTCTTTTCAGATAAAGACAGCCCTTTCTACTATGGTGAGTACTTGTGCCTCCCCTGCCCACCTTACCCCCATACTATCCCCTGCCAAGGGAGGGTCCCCACCCCAGGGTGAGTGACGGGCTGGCGAGAGTGGAACAGAGTGAAGACAAGAAGGGCCTTGGATTGGGACATTGGACACCGGATTGAAGGCCCAAGAGATGCTAACGGAGGCTTCCGTTCCAGCACACAAGTGAGGCCAGTTTAGCAGAAGTAGCTGACATAGGTTTGCAGCTAAGTCCACTGCCTGGAGAAGGCCTGACTTGAGCAGATGCCCTGGGGCTGTGGGCCTCTCTGATCCAAATCTTCCCACAGCCTCCATGGTCTCTCCTCCCCACCTCCCCACCCCACCCCTGCCCTTACCTCTGCAGAATCCACCTCACAGCGGCAGGCCTCCCCGCAGTCCTCAGACATACTCCCAGCCTCCAGACCTTGACCTCGCTGTGCCTTCTGACAGCCGTCCTCCCTCATCTCTTGCTGGTCTCTTCTCCGATGCGGTCTCCTCTTCCGAGAGGCCTTCTCCCTCTTCTTTCTAAAAGCCCTTCTAACCTCTCACCCCAACTTTGTTTTCTTCTAGCCCTGCTTCTGGGTTAGCCAGGGAGTGAGTGGCAGATTCTGGCTGGGAACTTTGCCTACTTGGGGTCCCCCAGCACCCTCCCCTATACCTCATTATTTGTCAAGTGGACAGGGCACACGTGGGGGAGGGCACATGCTGGTATTACAGTTTTTCTTTCTGATTCTCTCCCAGACTGGCACAGCCTCCGGGTCGGCGGGCTGATCTGCGCCGCAGTTCTGTGTGCCATGGGCATCATCATTCTCCTGAGTGAGTGCGGGCCCCAGAGGGCAAAAGAGGGGCCCCACGGAACTTCCCCTTCCTCTGATCCTTCTCCTCCCCTCTCCCCTCCAGGTGGTAAATGCAAATGCAAGTTTGGCAAGAAGCACAGGTAAAATGGCTTCCCAGAGTGCCCACCTCTTGCTGGACAGGTCCCCGCCGTCCGGGCTGAAAGAGGGGTCTCTAGCCCTGCCTTGGGGGCGTCTTGCCAAGAAGCCTTGCCACCTTTCTGATTCATGGTTAATCATAATCGTCTCAGATGGGTTTAAATCCTGAACCTTATCCCCTGGGATTAAACTCACCTGGGAAAAATAACCAGGGGCTAGGGTGGGTGGGCTTGTCTGGGCAAGCTGGGGCTCCTCCAGTCCAGAGGGCACCGGCACAATGGGGTGGGTAGAGACTTCTCTCTTTCATTTCCCCAGCCACCGTTCTGGGGAAGTCCCACCTCTCATCGCCCCAGGTAAGAAGAGGCCAGAGGAGGGCGGAGCAGCAGGGACTGTTGGGGAGCACGCAGGTGCATGCCCCAGAGGGAAAGAAAAATGCCTGCGCCCCACAACAGACTGATGCTCGTATCTTTCCCAGGATCTGCCCACCACTGCTGAGGACTCAGCACCCAGAGCAGGGGGGAGAGCGAGTGTGCCTCCTCTTCAGGTCCTGGCTCCACACTCCCCTGGCTGACAGGAGATGGGGCTGTCCGAGCCTCATCCCCCTTCCCTGCAGGGGAATTTCATTATTCATTTTAATCTGAGCTGATCTTGCCTCCTCTTCAAACCGCTTTGAGAGCCCTCGGTGTGCACTGGGTAGGGAGTTGGGCGCCGGGGGGAAGTGGGGCAGACACTGAGGGTTGAAGCCACCCCCTGAATCTCTTTATTGGGATCAACCCAAAGCCTGTTCCTTTGTGGCCTGATGGGGGGCACAGGGTCTGCCAGGTGGCCGTGGGAGTCCTCTCTGCAATTAAAGTGTTTCAAGTCGCCTGTGAGAGTTAGCACGGAATCGGTTCTTGTGGATGAGTGCCCAGGAGACGGCCCTGACTGGTGGCCGCCCTGCACAACAGAACAAGCAGTGACTGGTCCAGCACCACGCTCATAAGGACGGTTTTGTGGATTTGAGAAGGATGTCACCAGATGGAATTCTGGGTCGCTGCCCTGGGCGCTGACCACCCCTGGAAAGCTAGACTGTAGGATCACCCTGCCAGGATGCAAACACCCAGAAAGCCTTGATGGTAATCGGAAGAAAGCTACATTCTCCTGCCCACTCACCCCGCAAGGCCCTACTTCTTATAGGAGACCTCTCCAAATATCCCAATGTCCCTGTGAGACCACCTAATCACTCCCACCTGACCAAACAACATGGAATATGGTCTCACAGTGTAAGAGCCTCAAAGGAGCCTCTGACTCCCTTGAGACCCCTACCACCCCCTGCTCACTCACTGCCGTCCATGCTGACTCATCAGGACCCTATAGGACAGGGTAGGACTGCCCCTGGGGGCTTCCCAGACCGTAACTCTTTACAGGAGGAGAAAAGCTGGTCTTTCTCCCACAGAGTGATTATCACCCCAACATTTAACCTACTACGCCCCCCCCCCCAGGGCTCCTCTAACACCCAGGAAGACATCTAAAATGCCCCCAAGGGGCACCCATAACATTCCGAAAGCCCTCTAAGATACCCCAAATTCTCTCCTACCCCCCAAAGGAACCTACCTACCACCTGTGACCTGTTTCCAAATAATGAAGGCCCTGTCATCTCTTGTACAAGGAGCACTAGCAGTGGTTCAAACCCACCAGCTACTCCACAGAAGAGGAGGCTGCCTGCTCATGTAAAGACTTACAGGCTGGGAGACCTCAGGGGGCAGTCCTACCCTGTCCTACAGAGTTGCTCTGATCAGAACCGACTCACTGGCAGGGAGTTTGGTTTGGGCTTATCCCTCATACCACGAGCCTTGGTGGCTCTAAGAGATAGGCAATTCCAGTTATCGGCCTCTCCGCGGAGGAAAGGTGTGGCGGTCAGCTTCCGTATAGATGTACAGGCTTGCAAACGCGGTGGGCAGATCACTCAACCCTTCAACCTTCTATGGTGTCCCATTATCAAAACCCAATACCCCTTTAGACCCCGTGACAGCTCACCTGCCACTGCGGGCTCGTCTCCACCTTCCAGGAACCCCACCCCCCAGTATAAGACACCCTCTCCGAGTGATTCCACCGTCACAGGTGAGGCGGTTGCATGCTGTGTTTATTGAACTCATACACTGTTCTTGTCCCTGTCTCCCCATTGGGAACGTAACCCTGACTCCGCTACACTTCGCGCTTCCCCACTATTCCGCCTGCGCACAAGCAGCAGAGGGAGTTAACAAGCCGGGCCGGGAAAACTACCGAGCAACTGCTGACGTCATGGGCAAGGGCGCTAACAGCGATTGGCCAGATTGAGGGAAAGGGGCGGTTCTTTTTAGGAACTGATGGAGGCTTGACCACCGGCCCCCCCACCCCCGCCCCGACTGACTTTGGCCTCCCACTTCCTCCAGCGTCCCAGCACGAGCCCCTGAATCGTCTTTGGTGGGGGCAGCTGACCCCAGCACAGGTGGAAAGGGGAGGTTTGGCAGTAGCTGACCTGCCTGCCCCTTCCTGGAGTGCGCCCAGCTCCTTCAAGGCGTGGACCACAGCTTGACCTTGACGCGGGGGATGTTGGCTTGTGGTCGGCATCTCATAGGACCAGTCGCCACCCCAAGTTGGGCGGCGAAGCCAGTAGAGGGATGTCCGGAGCGCCAGGGTCCCGTTTGGTATTAAGCGCTGAGGTCTAACTCCTGAACCTGGTAGATCTGCGTTGGGCCCTTGAAGCAGGCGGCAAAGAGGAAGTGTTTGCCAGCCACTTTGACGGGGGCAAAGGCTCGAGGGGCCACCAAGGCTGGGGGGCCCAGCTCCTGCAGTGGCTCCAGAAGCTTCTTGTTCGGCTCCAGGAGGAAGACGTGGCTGAAGGCGAAGTCGCTGCCCAGGATGGCCAGCTGGTCCCTGGCTATGGACAGCGGCTGGAAGACGTGGGCCCCGCGGGAGGGCAGCTGCTGCAGCAGGCGGAACATGGACCCGTCCCAGCGCATGACCTGCGGGGCAGTCACTCATCAGGGCGTTGTTATCCGGAGTCAGGCTGGTCGGCGCCCGCCAAGCACCCGGAGATTTAAAACAACCCGGAGGGCTTGTGTGGCCCCCAAACCTAGCAGCTTTCTTCAGAAATAAGCTACTTAGAGGAGGAAACTTGGCGTTCTCTCCGACCCAGTGCCCCCTCAGCCCTCTCAGCCAGCAAAGCCTGTCAGTTTTACCCACAAAAGTTATACGAGGAGGGGCTTCAAAAATCTGGGGAAAATGGGATGGAAAGTGAATGGAATTTCCCACACACTCTGGAAAGCCCTCCTCATAGACTGTAGGTACCTTCCGGCCCAGCCCCAATGAAGTCACACCTGGCTTCCCGGCTCCCAGCTCTGGCCCTGCACGCTGTCCCCTCCCCGACACAACCCTGGGAACACCAGGGTCAGCCCATTGTCCTCCTGGGCTCAAAGCACCCCTCACTGCCGCTGACCCCAGTGAAAGCCCAGACCCTACTGGGTCCAGGATTTGCGGGGGTGGGGGGGGGGTGAGGGAACCACACCATCAGCCAGGACAGCATTGGGGCAAGGAGGGGCTGGAGCAGCCTCAGGCCTGGGGGATTAGGGTCTCAGGGTGGGGTGGGGGCTGTAATGCAGTGTGAAGTCCTAGAGGGTGACAGTCGGCATTTGAGGGGTATATTCAGAGTCTTGACAGCAGTGCTAGTGTTGAGGGGCATGGAGAGGCTTAGGGTAAGCTGTGAAGGGGTCATCGTCTAGGAGTTAGTGTTGGTGGGATCGGAGTTCAAAGGTCAGCCTGCTAACCCCAGAGTCAAAACTAAACAAGAACTCACTGTCACGGTGTCGATTCCGACTCATGGTGGGCGGCCTGACAGGGCAGGGTAGAACTGCCCCTGTGGGTTCCTGAGCTAACTCTTTATAGGAGTAGAAAGCCTCCTGTTTCCCCCACAGAGTGGCTGGTGGTTTCTAACGGCTGACCGTACCATTAGCAGCCCACCCAGTAAGCCAGCGGTTCTCAACCTGTGGGTCGTGACCCCTTTGGGGGCCGAACGACCCTTTCACAGGGGTCACCCGATTCATAACAGTGGCAAAATGACGGTGATGAATTAGCAACAAAACTAATGTTATAGTTGGGGGTCACCACCACATGAGGAACTGTACGAAAGGGTCGTGGCACTAGGAAGGTTGAGAACCCCTGCAAGTGGAAGCATTATATGCCACCAGGGCCCAGCAGGTCAAAACTACCAGCTTCTCGGAAGGAACGCTGAGGCAGCCTGCTCCCACCACCATGAACAGCCTCAGAAGCCCCCAGGGGCAGCTCTCCTCGGTCCCAGGGGGTCGCTGTGAGTCGGAATCAACTCAATGGCATGGGGGAAAGGCCAGCGCCGCGGGGTCAGGCCCGCCTGGTGCACCCCGGGGCCTCACCATGGAGTCCCCGATGTAGCGCGTCAGGCACAAGAACACCTCCCCGCCGGCCTGGAAGTGCCGCGTGGCGTAGACGTCCTCGGCCTCCGGGATGTCCGTGCGTCTCTGGAAGCGGCCGCCCGACCAGTGGAAGAGCACGGGCCTCTGCGAGACCGAGGCCAGCAGCAGGTGGGGCCGCCCGTCCAGCTCCAAGGCCTCGGCGTCCGTGTCCCGGTGCCAGGCGTGCAGGCTCTGGCGCGGGTAGAAGCCAGGGCCCTCCCGGCACAGCAGCGTGGTGCTGCCCGCCTTGGAGGCGTCGGCCACCACGAAGCAGGCCTGCCCTTCCAGCCACAGGAGCTCGGCGTCATTGGGTCGCAGCAGCTGTCGCGGGGCTAGCGCCTGCGTCAGGGCCAGCGGCAGGCCCGGGCTGGGCTGGGCCCACAGCTGGGAGCCCCCCCACAGGCGGGCGGCCAGCACGAAGAGGCGGGAGCCCAGCACCAGCGGCTTGCAGGACACCACCGAGGACGCTGGGGGGCGCAGGGGAGGCAGGAAGGCAGGTCAGAATGGCCCAGCAGATCAGCCTTGCTGGGCAGGCCCTGGGTCTGGGAGCCAGGCACCGGGTGGGCGGGAGGGCAGAGGGCAGGGGAGGCTCACCAGACAGCTCCTCCTTGGGTTGGAAGTGCTGTAGGCTGTAGTCCCAGGCGAGCACCAGGCAGCGCCCAGCAAAGGGCTGTGCCAGGACGACATGGGGTTCCCCGTGGTAGGAGAAGGGTTCCGCAGCCAGTGCAGATTCCTTGACTGTCTGGAACCTGGACAGCTCTGGGGGTTTGGGAGAGAGTCAGGCAGGCCCGGGGGAGCCGGGCAACCCCCTAGTCACTGAGCCTCAGCTTAACGGGCCCATGACGGCGCTCACCTCCAGGGGACATTCAGCGCTAGCAGATTCATTTTTCGAAGCGACCTGGACCATCATGTAATTTTGAAGGGCACTAAGGTCCCAAGAGGTGCTCTCTGTTGGCAGGTCCTCCTCACAGATAAGGTGAAGTGACAGAGGCAGCCGGTTGCCGGGAAAATTCCCTCCTCCCCATCTTCCGAAAAACAGGGTTTGGGCGGGGGACGAGGCTGGCCCAAGAGACGACGATGTCATTCTAGCCACTGGTTGGAAGCTGGACAGGATCCTGCTGAGAACAGCCTCCCCGTGAAACAGGCTCAGGGGCTGATGGGTTCAACGCTCCCCTCACGGGCTTGGATGCAAAAGCCTTGCTCCGGCCTTGGCCTCTATGTCCGGTGAACTGGCAGGCCACCACCCAGTTTCAACCAGCAAAACCAGGCAAGGCCGAGAGGCTGCCCCGCCCACCTGAACGCTCACCTCAGACCCTCTGTCTCCTTTCATTCTTGGGTATTTGGAGCCTTTTTGTTACAACAGCTAGGAGCCCTGGCGGCATAGTGATTACGAGTTAGGTTGCTAACTGCAAGGTCAGCAGTTCGAAACCACCAGCCACTCGGAGGAAGACAGAGGGGACTTTCTACTCCTGTAAAGAGTTACAGTCTCAAAACCCACAGGGGCAGTTCTCCCCTGTGCTGTGGCATGGCTGTGAGTCGGCATTGACTCAGTGGCGGTCAGCTGGGTTTGGCTACAGCAGTTTAGCTGAGATGAGAATTGAGGCCCTGGCTTGCTTGTGGCGGGACTTGGCGTCACGGGGCTTTGCTTGGCACACCGGGCCCTGTGCTACGTGTGCAACCATGAACCAAGCCACCCCGAGGATGCCTACCCCAAAGGGAGCTCCTGTAAAGCCCATCAAGTCATGTCCAGGCCCCTCCAAGCCCTCCTTGTCTCCCACCGTCCCCTTGGCTTTCGTGGTCCTGCACGGTGAGGTCCCAGCCTGGCTCCGTCCTCCTCCTGTCCCTCCCTTCTTCAAGCACACTCACAGGTGCCTGGTCAGCACGTTTTCTGTCTCAGGGCCTTTGCATGTGCTGTTCTCTCTCTAGAGGCCCACTCGCTCTCTTCTTCACTCAGCAAACCAAGCCCGAACGTCGCTGCCTCGAGACAGCTTCTCAGACCCCCCCACAGAAGTCAGGGGTCTCCCCTCTCTTGTTCATCTCCTTTCTGTTCATCAACATTTCTCACAACTGGTGGCCTCTCCATTTATTTGTGCAATGTGCTATTGAATGGCTTATCTGCCCTCACTCTCAGGACTGCAAGGCCCCCCGAGGCTAGGACCCAGGGGGACCACAGTGTCCCCCTCTTGTTGGCGCATAGGAATTATTTTTAAGATGACACGTTTTACATTAGCCTGTCTCTCAGGGACTCACAAGCTAGACCAGGCACCATATGTTGGTGCGTCATCAGCGCCCACTGAGCACCTAGTGTCACTGGTTGTCACCCCCACTGTCCAGGAAAGCCATCTTGCTGGCTCAAGGTCCCACAGCAAGGAAGTGGCAGGGCGTGACACGGAAGCCATTCTCTCTGAACCCTCCCTCCCCATCCCTCCTGCCCCAACCCTGCTAGGCAAGCCCTCACCTATAGCTCGGCACTTGAAGGTCTTGGGGTCCAGGTGGCGGAGCTGCAGGTGGGACAGGGCGGCGGGGCCTGCGCAGGCCCCGGTGCCCACGCTGGCGTTGACGGTGGGTATCCACTGCAGCAGCCAAAGGATACGGCAGTCACACTGGAACGGGTTCCCTCGGAGGTCCCTGGGGCAAGAGGCCGGGGTGGGGCTAGGGTAGAGGGGCTGCAACCCAGGCAGCGCTGTTTCCACTTCCTGGAAGTCATGCTCCCCACCCCCTCCCCAGGTAAGGGTCCAGGGCGGGGCTCCATGGGGGGGGATGTGTAAGAACCAGGGCCAGTCTACCCACACGTGCTGACGGACCCAAAGTGACACGGGTGCCCCCTCCCGCTGCGGAGCTCCCCCCAGCCTCCCCTCACCCTCTCAGTCCCATCGATCCTCACACATGAGTCAGGGTCTCCAGACCTCGGAACAGGAATCTGGGCAGGGTCTCCAGATGGTTATTAGCCAGGCTCCTGGCGGAGGGAGAGAGGGGAGACGCTCAGCAAATACCTGGAGATCCGGTGCCACGGGGAGGACGGCCTGTCAGGGAGAGCTGGGAGGTGAAGGAGGAGGCCTTTGGGGCACGCACAGGTGTGTGAGCGAGCGAAGTCCTCTGAGCGCGTTCTTAGAGATGGCGCCAATGTCATTGTCCTCGATGAAGCTGTGGAGGGAAGGCACGGTGCCGTGGAGACCCTTGTTACCCCGCGAGGGCCTCACGTTGCTTGGCGACCTCCCTGCATAGAAGCCACAGGCCCCTGGAAGGTGCAGGATGATCTCCAAGCACAAACATGAACCTATTGTCATTGTTAGGTGCCATCAAGAGCAACGACACGGCTCTGCGCCATCCCCACAATTGTTCTTATGCCCGATGGTTACTGCCAGCCTCACCATGACCATCGCTACCACCATCACAAACACAAGCACCAACACCAGCGTTGGCACCGTGAATGAATCCCAACCACAACCATGGTTCGTCCAATACGCAAGCATCCATCGCCGTCATAGCAATCCCAGTAGCAACAACTGCATCATCACCATCACCATCCCCTACCACCATGACCTCTGTCAATGTCGTCTCCAACATCACCACCCACTACCAGCATCATCACCAAACCCCACACCAGCAACACCGATAGCCATGATCCACCTGGCAACTTTCACGATCAAGGTCAACATAACTGCCGCCATCATCACCATCCACATGGCCACTATTGTGACAATCACCACCTTCAGCACCTACGTTGCCAACAGCAACAACATCATCATTATCTCCAACGCTCAAGCCTTTATCCACCGTCACTGTGTTAGTCTGGGCTGACTAGAGAAACAAACCCAGGGACACTCACGTGTGTGAGAGAGAGCCACAGCCCAGTCCAGATCAAGTCCACAAGTTCAATATTAGAACGTAAGTCTGATAATAGCCCATGAATTCCTCTTCAGACTCATGTAGCACATGTGATGATGCCGAATGCAGGAAGATCACAGGCCGGTGGGTAGAAAGTCCTGTGGGTCCAATGGCAGTGGATGCATCCCCAGGGCTCTGGCTGCCATCAGCAGGGCTCCATGTGGCTTGGCAACAGGAAGGCGAAGCAGAGAGAGAGTGTGTCCCCCTCCAGGGAGGAAAACAGAGGTTCCTAGAATCCTCAGGAGAAGGTCATGCCCACACAGAGGCATGAATGGCTATGACCTGATTGACAGGCTAGACTCCACCCCCTGATTAACAGGCTAGACTCCATCCCTTCGGTCAAGCTGACAGGAGATTATGTAACTGCCACAATCACCAACACCTCCACCATCATCGCCAAAACCTGTACCAATAATATCAACCTTCTACCCACAACCATTACCAACATCAACACCAACCCCATAATTACCCATCTCTTCCAACACTAAGAATTATGACCAATCTCTACCCCATAGTCGTGATCATCCATATCACAGTACCAACCAGTGGTTATTTTTATCAGCACTGTGGTGGTTACATAACTTCATGTCAACTTGAAAATATCAACTTGAAGTGTCGGGGTGGAGTCTAGCCTGTCAATCAGGTCACAGGCTGATGGTGCCTCCTTGTGGGCGTGGCCTTCTCATGAGGAGGGCCCTGGGAACCTCCCCCTCACTCTCCCCTCCTTCACCTTCCTGCTGGTGAGCCACTCTGGGACCTGCCAGAGCCCTGTGATGCTTCCACCACCATTGGATCCGCAAGACTTTGCACCCACCGGCCTGTGATCTTCCTGCACTCTGCATTGCACGCAGCTGTGGAGTCTGAAGATAGACCCATGGACTAGCATCAGACTTATGGACTTGAGTTGGACTAGGTTGGGATGCTTTCTTGAAATGTAGTGAACTCTCTCTTATACATATTTTAGTGTCTCTGAATTTGTTGCTCTAGTCAACGTGGTCTAACACAAACACCATCCCCACTCCATCATCAATCACGCTGCCATTTTCCTGGCAGCAGCAACAGCATTCTGACCGCTACTACTGCCAACATCATCATCACCAACATCAAAGTCGGCATCCCCATGCCCCCTAGCTGCCCCCACCAATACCACCACTCCCCACTGCCATTATCATCAACACCGTCATACCACCACCATCCAACCATGCAGTTATTGATTGCTAAGTTCCTGTCTTTGACCTCTTTGCACCCTCCTGGGGTCCCCTCAGAGGAGCCCCAGTGGCGTAGTGGGCTGCTAACCACAAAGGTCAGCAGTTCGAAACCATCAGCCCACTCCAAGGGGAAAGATGATGTTCTCTACTCTCGTAAAGAGTTCCAGTCTTGGACACCCACAGGGGCACGTCTACCCTTTCCTATAGGGTCGCTATGAGTTGGCATTGACTCGAGGGCAGTGAGAGAGAGTTCCCTCAGACAGGGCCAGAAACGGTCTCTGGGCATCTAAACCCTTTTGGGATCTTGAAGCACAGGCAGGGGAGGGGTGCAGGATGAGCTCATATGGAGAATCAGGAGCCCTGACCCCACCTCTTCCCCCCAGGAGGGGTTCTCTCCCTACCCCAAGACTGTAGGGCCCTCCCCTCTTGCCGGGCTTGCCCCGCCCCACGCCGTGGCCCCACTCACAGGTACTGCAGGTGGGACAGGCCTGCAAACGCGTCGTCCTCAATCACGGAGAAGGTGTTGGACGTGAACAGCCTGGCAAAGGAGGCAAGAACGGGGTCCGTCTGAGCTGCCGCCCCTCCTGACCATTAGCTTGGGTTCCCACCCTGGCTTCACACTGGTAGGGCACACACGTACCCATACACGTGCCTGTGGCATTGAGTATGTGGGTGGGCACAGGTACTTTGTGTGCCCCCGCTCCCAACCCGCTCATGCCCAAGTGTGGACACAGTCACTCACCAAGGTCCCCCCCCCTCCGCCCCCTTGCCCCTGGAGCTGGGCCTCACTCACAGCAGGTGCAGGGATGGAATCCTCAGGAAGCTGCCGGCCTTCAGCTGGGTGACACCTGTCCGGACCAGAGAGCTGAGGGGCATGGGCAGAGGTGGGTGGGCCAGCAATACTTCCAGTGCACCAGCACTCTCCTCTCCCCTACACCCCAGGAATGGCAGGCCTTGGCCATCTCTGCTCCCTGAGTGCCCCCCTGCTGCCCCTGCCCCTGCCCCCGGGGGAGTTCCCAAGTTCTCTTCCTTAGCTCCCTTCATCTTGCCGGACCTCCCTTTGCCCCCCCCCTCACTCACACCCCCCATAAGGATTCTGACAGGCTCTCCTTTCTTGGAGACACCTTGCTGCCATCCCCCAGGGTCCCCGCCCCCACCCGTGGGCCCACGGAGGGCCTGGCACTCACAGTGACAGCAGGGTCCGGGAGAAGGTCTCGGGCAGGTCTGGGGAGCCCTCACACAGGGCGCTGTCTCTGGAGCAGGAGCAGCGTGGGGCGCACTTCCCCTTTGGGGGTCTCCAGGCCACCCCCAGCCCTGCCCACGCCCCTGCCAGCAGCAGCAGCAGGATGCCCAGCCCTCCCATGCTCCCCTCCCTCCTGCCCCTCCCCCTCGGAAGCTCCAGCTCCTCTCTGCCCACCCAGATGTCAGCACTACATCTCCTATGCCAGGCGTCCCTCCGCGCCCGGCTGGCTGGCCCTCCTCTCCCTCTGGTTCGTTCCGTATCTGCCCGCGGCGGCTGGAGGTTTAATTCTCTGGTTATTCCCCTGCTCGCCGTTCCCTGCTATCTGTGTCTTTCTGAGTTTGTTGGTGTCCCCCTCTCTGTCTTTCTCTAGTTCCGTCTGCGTCTCTCTGTCTTTCTGCCCCTCTAGGTCTGTCCCTTGGCCTCTGTGTGTGCGTCCTTGTGTCTGATATCTCGAATTCTCATCTCCCCCTGCGCCCCTCCCCCCTCATTCCTGGTCCTGTCTGCAGGATCCCACACCCTTTGTCCCCTCTCCCTGAAGGTTTGGGAAGGTTTGCCCGTTGAGAACTGGCAGGGGAGGGCGGGCGGGAAGGAGGAGGAGGTCAGAGGACAGAAGACGAGCCTTCCCTGGGGAAGGAACTGGATGCCCCCCACCCTTCCCGTGGGAGGGGCCACTAAGGCCAGGGGTTGCCTCCGGGCAACTCCCAGCCAGCCCCTGCCCAGATTCCCCTATTCCACTGCACTAGGGAGTGTGATGAAGACTGTTTTGTGATTAGGGTGGGGACCGGATGGCTTTGCAGGAGAGGGGGTGGGTGGGAAGAGAAGTCACTGAGGACTAGGACTGCCCCTTGGCTTTTCCCAGCCAGTCTCCTTGCAGATGGCCCTGGCTCTAGGAAGAGGTGGAGGGCCGCTCCTTCCATGGGCTAGGGAGGGGGCCGGCTCAGGTCCAGCTGCTCCCTCTGGTGGCTACACTAGCCAGGACAACTTCCCTGCCCCAAAGCCAGGGCCTCTCTCCACCAACCCAAAGTTCATTCTACCCACTGGGGGTAGAGAGCAAGTCCAAGAGAGCAATGATGATGGTACTGCTGGTGGTGGTGGTAATGATGATGGTGACGAGGATGAGGGTGATGACGATGGTGAGGATGGTGATGGTGGTGGTGCGGATGGTGATGGTGATAATGCTGGTGGTGGTAATGATGATGGTGATGGTAATGATGATGGTGATGATGGTGGTGATGGTGATGGTGGTAATGATGATGGTGAGGATGGTGATGGTAATGATGATGGTGGTGATGGTGAGGATGGTGAGGGTGGTGAGGGTGGTGATGGTGAGGATGGTGATGGTGATAATGCTGGTGGTGGTAATGATGATGGTGACAAGGATGAGGGTGATGACGATGGTGAGGATGGTGATGGTGGTGGTGGTGATGGTGAGGATGGTGATGGTGGTGGTGGTGATGGTGAGGATGGTGATGGTGGTGGTGGTGATGGTGAGGATGGTGATGGTGGTGGTGGTGAGGATGGTGAGGGTGGTGATGGTGAGGATGGTGATGGTGATAATGCTGGTGGTGGTAATGATGATAGTGGTGATGATGATGGTGGTGATGGTGATGGTGGTAATGATGATGGTGAGGATGGTGATGGTAATGATGATGGTGGTGATGGTGGTGATGGTGAGGATGGTGAGGGTGGTGATGGTGATGGTGAGGATGGTGATGGTGGTGGTGGTGATGGTGAGGATGGTGATGGTGGTGGTGGTGAAGGTGAGGATGGTGATGGTGGTGGTGGTGAAGGTGAGGATGGTGGTGGTGGTGATGGTG